ATCTCAGCACCAGCCCACCAGCTGCTTATGCGTTGGCATAAAAAAATCAGTTTGTAATGTTTCATTCATAACTGCTTTCCAGTCCCTTACACAATAGGCAAAAGTTACACAAGCAGCATCACTTACCAACTAAACAGCAAGTGAGTTCTATGTGATAGAAAACAGGCTAATGTTAGCTCTCTTCCATGAATGATGTTAATCAAGGAGGAGGACCAAAATTGTGTAGAGATCACATCCTTGTTGGCTTGACTGATCTGATCAAAATGCCCAAAAGCAAAAACAAAATAAAAGAATAAACTTTCACAAAAAAACAAACAAACATACTTTAACATTTCAGATTGTTGGGCATATACTGATACCACCACTTAAATGAAAATATAATGTCTGATGTCCTTGTGATGACACCTTTAAAAGTTAAAGTAACAAATATTTCAACATTTGGAAATAGAGTGAGGGAATATCAATTCAACTGTAGCTATTATAGTGAATAACACAAAATGTTTCTTTGTCTAAGTCCTCTGTCTCCATCTGTCACCCATCACAGGTGCAGAACTTCTTTCCATATCTGAAGATATTCAAAGCTCTGGTTGTTTCTCAGCTGGCAGCTCTTAGCACTCAGATAAACTTATGAAAGTCACACCAGGTCCACTGATCATGGTTAACATCATTTAGGGAAAACCTTTTTCTTAATTTTGTTCTTAGTTCAAAATATCAACCCTTTATTCTATTTTCATCCCAACTTTCTTTGTTATTGATATCACATTTCAAATTTCAGAAACTTCTACTTTATCCTGAAACAAAGAGGAAACACGGCTACCCCTAATATTCTCTGCATCCCTTGAAATTTATTAGTACACCTTTAAAAAAATCATCCTCATGATGAGATTTTAAAATACAACTTCTTTAGTTTAATGTCATGATTAACTGGTATATTTAAGTTCCTTTCTCACATTACATCTTGAAATGTATTTTGACTTTTATTATATGCTCAGGATCTGAAACAACATTAAACAATAACAGGATAAGTTCTGCAACTGAATTGATTTCCTGGTTTGGTGAAGGGGTCCTGAAAAGCTTTGCCCACAGGAATATTAGTATTGTCCCGCTGCCATTAGTTACTCTCTGTAAACCAGTTAAATTATAATACCATAAATTGAGTTTTGCATTCTGGATTGATCATTCTGGCAGTTTGGTTGCAAGATTCTCTTTGTTTTACATATAAGACTATCGAACACAACAACTGGTGTTCTTTAGAAATAGCCAGACTACCATATCTAGCTGTGTCACACATGAGTCTGAAAACAGAAAGGCAAACAATGGCTTTTCCAAAATGGCACTGATTCATGTATATCCTTATGCCAGCCTGTTCACTCAGAGCACTAAGTCCAACTTTTTTTGAGTTAGAATTAGTTGTAATTATTGTGCATTTTATTGCACAATATTGTATTGCTAAATTCTTCTAATTTCTTTAAAATTAAGAAGTAAAAGGATGGATGGTGTAATAAACCTAAGGTGCACTAGGCTTCAAACAGATGAGTGAATGTAAGTATAGACAAATATACAGACCCATTCAATAAACAAAAGTCTTATTGAAAAGTCAAATTATTTTATTGACTTTATTACATATTGAAACATGCAATTTAGATTAATTTGTACAGAGGCTGATGTTTCTTTAAGTTTCTTGGCAGAATCTTTAGTCCATTAATTATGATGATTTGCTGTTTGCAAGTAATGAAAACACAATATTTAGGATTAGACTATTAGAGCAGACAAATAAATCTATTTTAACATAGAAGGCTTGATGAAAATGTTCATTTTCATTAAGCCCTTAATGAAAAGAATGTTTAATACCTGCTAAATGGCTATTATTCTTAAAAAACCTTTTAATTAATAAGCCTCATTTGAACATATATTCTGTTTTAATAGATTTTGAATTATTTTTTTTTCATATATTTGTGTGATTAGTGGATATATTTTCGTCTATTTACATGCTAATTTTAGGTAGTCCCTTTTTTCAGTAAAGACATTTGCCTAAATTCAGATTTTACAGAGTCTACTTTACACAAGACAATCTCATAATTTTATTTCACTTTTATTTGAACATGTTTAAATGGAAAGGGAACAAATTCACCACTTAAACCTTAAATATCTAATAAATGAATAAAAGATAAAGGTTTTCTTTTGTACATCTAACAGATTTTTCTAAAAGATGATTTGTGTGAGTGCACAGTCTCTGAGGACCTTCAGGAAACAGGACACACCTGAGAAGTTTGCTTAACCTCAGGCCAAACTTGACTAAATGTGTTGAAAAAAAAAAAAACAATCACCCAAGACTTAATGATTTATGTTTAGACATGATTTTAAATATTTATTTTTTTTTTTTTTTTCAATTAATCTACATACCTATT